AATTTGAAAGATATCACGAAAAATAACATTCTCCACAGCTGAGGAACTTATCGAAAAAGCAAACTGTACTCGCATGCCAGGATGCCGAAGCACCCATTAGTATCACAGGATACGCATCTGGCTCGGGAATCGGAGGAGTCTTACAACAATGAGTTAACCCCACCTGACAACCTTTGGCATTATTTTCTAGACGGTTGACAGCCAGGGAATTGAGATATAGCGCTTTTGGTAGGGATCTTCCAGTCATGTATCATGGTGTATCACACTACCAACACTCTATAGAAGACCGACGATTCCCTCTGTTTCCAGACCATAAATCTCTCACCTTCTCTCCTAGCTCATCTCCATACAAGAACACCCATCGAAAGTCCCAACCACTGGACTAAATTTCACAGTTCACTTCAGATGTACAACACATTCCTGAGGCAAATAATGAAAATGAAAAGCTGCCAGAAGAGTGTTTGCCAACGACAAGCTCATAGGGTTTAAACATTTGGCTGGATACGTCTTACAATAATGACTACTACATTAGTGTAAGGGAGAGCGCTGTAGCGGTAATCCCACAAAATAAATAGTTCTGTGGGTCACCGACCTCATTAGTTTTACTGAACACAGCCTTGCTGAAGACGTCCGGTTACGCGCCCGCACCAGATCGCTAGCAAATACGCTGGGCTGCGCATCCCTCGCAACCACTAGCCAGTTTAGACCAAGCGCTTCTCGACATATCGATAGCTTTCCAAATATATCATCGAACCCCTTCATTTCTGACTTCTATTTTAACTGGTTTGGTATACTCCGATTATGGAGGCATTACGTGAAAAAGCGTTGTCACACTCCGAATACCTGTGGTATCTCTTCTGTGACGGAAATTATAATAAAATATTCACGATTCAGTAACTAAATAAACGAAAAACGACCGTAATTTCGGTCTGTGATACACGTATATTGACTTGAAAACGTTGAATTCATCTACATTTGACATGATTTTCTTCCCATTTCTTTCCTCATACTAGAACTATTTATCTCTGGAAACCGCGATAGAATAAACTCACGTTGGAATTCCTCCCGACATCAAGAGGTAGTCGACTAGAACTCCTTACTCGAAGAAGTAATATCAAGACCGACATTTGATGATTTTAAAACGAAACTGACACTTCACAAAAAAATATGTAGTAAGAATTAATCCGCCCGGTCATCACTGAGCCCAGGAATCCAAAACGCTCCTCGACATCCAAACAACAAGATACCAAACCTAGACGCCCTGGAAAACCCGGAAAATCAATTACGGTTCGTGACGACTCTGTCATAATCATGAACCTTATTGACAACCCCGACCTTCCTCTCAGTTTGCAGGACAAAAATGATAGGATGCTCTGGGGAAAATTAAACAAGAGGCTTGATCTCCTCAGAATAGAGCTTTTGACCGTCACACGACTCACTCGGGGGAAGGACTCTAACCACATAAACCACCCGAGGCTGCTTCGTGTTATACTTAAGAATGCCTCCGACGTAGAGGACGTCCTGCTAGCCAGTCACTTACTGAAATCCGATGGGAACGTAAGAATACTGCCCGACATACCGTATTCTGAACGAAATCTCATCCGGAACATCCCTAAGGAATCTCATGAGGCGTTTTTCCGTGGACGAAATATCATTGTGCAAGTTGTACCGGAAAATAAGAACCCAACTCAAGCAAATTCTCATATTCTGGAATGAAAATTCACTAAGCATTCCTTAAAACTCAGGAACATATTGACCCAACAGGTAATGCGACTAGCCAAGAGAGACGGAGACTCTAGGCTCAAGCTATTGAGGATAACCTTCCCCTCCTCCCACATGGCAGCTGCAACTCTGGAAGCATTTCGTGCCAATAGACGTCGGTTGCCAACTGGCATCCATATGCATCCCGATAGGCCACACGACAGCAGGATCAGGCACAAACGAAAGCTGGAGCTGACAATTCCACTCGTGGACTGTCTTGATCATAAAAAAACGTGTAAAGGACAGGGACTACCAACTCGGTAAACATCGTATAGGTAGGCTACCTGTCCACTCACACACGGCTCATATAGACAAACAAGAAGAGGCTCACGCGTTCCAAATTGAAAGCATAAACTTCCTATACACGAACGCCGCGAGCTTGCCAAACAAAATGGATGAGCTACGTGAACTTAGCAACGCTAATGATGCTCATCTGATAGGAATATCCGAAACTTGGGTAACGTCTCAGTTTACGGACCAGGAGCTAGCAATAACCGGAATGTCTTTATTTCGCAACGACAGAAAAACAGGAATGGGGGGTGGGGTAGCACTATACATACGGTCATGCCTGGATGAGCACCAACTTCACAACCAAGAGTTTCTCAATCTTGATGAGTCAGTATGGTGCTCAGTAAGATTGTCTACCACCTCGAGGTGTCTAGTTGGGGTCATCTACAGGAAGCCCACTGCCGACATCGAGTATGACAAACGTCTGCTGGAGGGATTAACTCGCTCTACGCGTCTCGGATCCTCTCAAATCCTGATTCTAGGGGACTTCAATCTTCCTAGAATCTACTTCGTGGAACATACATACATTGAAGGTGACAACTCTACTGAAGCTCTGTTCTTCAACCTCATCGGTGACCTGGGATTATTCGAAAATGTGAAGTCGGCAACTCGTTGGAGAAACAGTCAGACGCCGTCGCGCTTAGACTGGGTATTCACAAATGAAGAATTCCTAGTTGACGACCTCTCAAACCTGTCTTCCCTGGGGAAAAGTGATCACGCCGTCTTATCATTCAGCTTTGTCAGCAAAACGGAGCTAAGATATCCCACTAGCAACAAGCGCTGGAACTTCAAACGGTTGAATGTGTTAGCTTTACAGGACTATCTACAACATGTGGATTGGGATGTTCACCCTCAACTTGAAGTGGATGCTCATTGGGATTTTTTACTGCACACGATCTTATGTGCTACTGAGCATTCAGTTCCTCAAATGGTCCCGAAAAGCTACAAACAACCTCCAATCATCAAGAACCGCACTCCTCGTTTGTTAAGCCTCAAAAGGCACTGTTGGGCCGAATATAAACGAACCGACAATAACAACGCATACAGGCAATATAAATACATAAGGGACATATGTTCAAAGGCAATAAGAGAAAACATACTTCAGTACCAGACCAAGTTTATTGATAAATTCGTCTCCAATCCGAAAAGCTTGTTCAGTTATGTAGCTTCTCTTCGACAAGGCAAAACTGGAGTTTCCCAACTGCTTGGTCCTAATGGCCTGACCAATAACGACAGTGATGCCGCTAACCTTTTGGCTGAACAATACTCCCGGACATTCCAGCTGACCCACATCAACTATACTGACGAAAGCTTCACCTGCACCTGTACAGGACTTTTCGAAGTGGACCTGAGTGCTGACCTGGTGCTCCGTAAACTGCAGCACCTAAGAAAAGACTCTTCTCCCGGTCCGGATATGGTTCATTCCACTGTATTGAGGGAAGCAGCTTCAATCCTGGTGACACCACTTAGCGTGATGTTTGCACACTCGCTAAGCAGAGGCAAACTACTGGAAATTTGGAAGTTGGCTCACATAACACTAATTTTCAAAGGAGATCGACGCTGTGAAACCTCAAGCTACCGACCAATGGCCCTTCTCTCCATACCTTCAAAAATTATGGAATCCCTAATATACGACGGTATACTAGAATACTTATCATCATCAAAGTTCTCCTCACCTCAACAGCATGGTTTCAGAAAAGGTCATTCTTGTATGACCAACCTGCTGACTGCGGTGGATAGATGGACGATCATCCTTGATCCCAAGGGGAAGGTTGACGTCATCTACTTGGACTTCTCAAAAGCTTTTGATAGGGTCAACCACGTATGTCATATCAAGAAGCTTAAACGATGTTTTAAAACCCCCTTTGATTAACTGGCTCACTTCATATTCAGAAAACCGACACTTTAAGTTCAGGGTTAACTCCACTCTCTCTCAGGCTATGGAATGTCCTAGTGGGGTCCCCCGGGGCTCAATACTAGGACCTCTTCTCTTCTTGATTTACATTAACGAGCTTCCTCAACAAGTTTCATCTGACTTATTGCTTTTTGCTGATGATGTGAAACTTTGGAAAGAGATACGTAATCATAATGATATACTAGTTCTTCAGGAGGATCTGACTCAACTTCAAAGTTGGGCAGACGACAACGGACTTACCTTCAACACTTCAAAGTGCAAAGTAGTCCATCTGAGACATGTTGCAGACTACGGTTATAACTTAGGTAACTCCCCTCTAGAATTTTCCCAAGTCGAAAAAGATTTAGGGGCGTTGGTACCCTATGACCTGAAATCGTACGCGAACTGTGACAAAAACGCCTCTCAATCAAACCTTGCACTGGTAACATTGAAGCGCATTTTTGGCCAGTTTGACGTAGAACCTTCCATATAATCTTCAACAGTTTTATTCGTCCCCATTTAGAGTAAGGAAACATAGTATTTCCTCCCTCCCTCCAAAAGGATAAGGTCACTCTGGAACGTATACAACGTCGAGCCACGAAATCAGTTCGGGGACTCAAATTCAAACCTTAAGAAGAGCGCCTCCAATCCCTTAACCTTTGTCCGTTAGAGTACAGGCGTCTTAGAAGTGATCTTCTTATGACTTACAGTATCCTTAATACTTCTGGTCATCCCCTTAAACATCTTCTTAAGCTTAGTCATAACACTAACCTAAGAGGTGACACCCAGAAATTGGAGACCCTACATAGCAGAACAGACTGCAGACACAACTTCTACTCCGTTAGAGTTTTCAAGTGCTGGAATTTGCTGCCGACTGGGTCAGTTCAAGCGACCTCCCGGGAGTCCTTTGAGAGGAAACTCGACTTATTCTTAAGGACTAAGGATAACATATTATTATGATTTACCAAATTCTTTTTTCCCCTCTATTATCGTTCATATACCTAGGTTTTTTCCTGGAGGTATTGGTGATCCACTGCTACTAGACACGGAATCCCGTTAAGCGAAAGCTTCTTCTATTCCACCCTCAACTATTTGAACCATTTGAACCGTTTTTGCAGACTGAAGATTGTCGATTGAAGGAATAGATCGACCTTGGATTTCGTTCAAAAGTGTTAGTATAAACCTGACGAATGATGTCAGTACTATGTCTCTGACTTCTTTGGCTGCATACCTTTCTATTTGTATCTTCGCATTTGTAGTGAACATACATGCTGAGGGCTTATCTCCGTACGGTTCACAAGGGTATGAATTCATGTTCAGAAAATATTGCTTTTTAATTGTAGGGTATTAATAGCAAATACTGTTGATGGTTCGTTCATTGGTTTAGATATAAAAAGTGGAAAGTTGGTTTGGAAGATAGATGGCCCTCCTCTTGTTTCTCAGAGTCTGAGTGATCTCCAGGTATCTTATCATCCTGACGAATTAATAATTGTCACATATTTTAGCTCATAACAAAAACGAAGTCATATAGCATTGTTCCTTCACTTGACGGCCAACTTTTTTTGATGGAGAGAAAACTAACGGGTGACTCAGATCTATTACGTGGAGCATCACTGAAGGCATTACCGCTGAGCATCGACTCTTTATTCTCTTCAAATTTTATGCTCACAGAAGATTCACTATTAACTGGAGGACGAGAACATTCAACATTCACTTTCAATCCTAACAACGGCAAAGTGAGTCCGTTGCATTTGGTGACAAATCGCATTGGTTTTTATTTGATTTAACTGTTCACAGAGTTTGTTTAATCTAGGAAGAATATCTTTTACTTGACTAAGGTCTTTAACTCAGAGTTATCAAAAATTAGAATTTCATGCTTAAGAAGTTTGTTAAAGTTTGTGTGGGCGTGTTTACGGAATTCTGAATCAACTTCGGGAACCCCATTTTTAGACCGAGACGTACATTCTATCCGTACTACTTATAACCAACAACAGCAGCCATTCTTGGTGACAGACGTAGGGCTCGGACCCATCTGACAGGTGTTTGCATGTTAGTGCATGGTTTCAAAACATTTGAAGCATGTTTTATGGGTGAGTGCACTTTATTTAAAAGTCGACTTGACCCTGAACTAATGGACAGTCTGGTTTCAAAACACATTTAATATTACTTTACTTTGTAGCCGACTTTTAATTTAAATGCTAAGGATGATTCGTTAACGATGTCACATACTTCGGTTTCGACACCTAATCAGCATTGAATTTCTCATATCAACCATAACAAAAGCGAAAGAACGAATAAACATTAGCTATGAATTGAAGTGTTCTGAGTCATGTGAGTGTTTATGAAACGTGCAAACTCAGATGGAAACAAGTAATTTCCTCTGCTATTATCACCTACCTTTTTATTTGAATTTATCATAAAGATACCAATGTAAGTGAATCTGTTCACTCCCAACTTTGGTGGGTTTGACGTTTCACCTGGAAATCCTAAAATACAAATGAAGTAGTCTAATATTCTTCCGAAATGAGGATATTCGGCCAAATGCCCTGGTACGGCCGAGAGTGGGGAGAGTCACCTCTCCCTCTCGAAATACTCTCATATGGCCAGCGAATATATAGCCTCTGCCAGGGAAGTCCTACTCACTGCCTTCTCGTGGCGGGGGCGTTGTTTACGAAAGTGAGAGGACGAAAAGCGAATGTCCGGCGCTTTAACCGGGTTGGTGTACGTGGAAAGTTCACCTAGGGGAGTTGGGAAACCCTGATTCCAAACCAATGGTGCACATGGGCTCCAGTATCCTGATGGAACGAATGACGGACGAACCTGTCATTGGTCAACGGCTACCATGGGACTGCATCTCCTCACGATGCTCCACTGCCTTGTGGATCAGACCTTTTGGTCAAAGGCTCGGGGTGTGGCCCCCTAAGAAAACCACCTGCTTCAGTCTGGGCACCTGGGCAGTATCACAGCCCTCACACAAATCGAATGAGATTTGTGAGGCGCATATTTATCTGGTGCTTCATTGTACCAATATTTATGTGTTTAAATAAATTAAATAAATAAAAATATTCGGCCATTTTATTTATGTCAATTCTTGAAGTAAGCCATTCTTCTAAAGTACCCGCTGACTGAGCTGACCCACTAGACGATAAAAATTAGATTCTCACTCTGCGGTTTTCGATGTTCTCTCTTTAGCCTGAGACTCGGTTCAGACGATAGTAAAACTATTGCTCTCAGACTTTAAGGGTACAGTTCAGAAAAGTTTGCTCTCAAAATCCTTTCTTATAGTTGCCTTACTACTTGCACATAGCAAAATATCTCCATGAAATTGAAAAAAAGTACATCTGGGGTCTTAATTACTCATACAGGTATAGAATACCCCACTAGAAGATTGGAAAACTCCGATTCCAAGTTAGTCCAGAGTATATGTCCTATAATTCTAACTTAGGCCTGTTACTCCTCCACCAGGAGCATAGGCTACCCACTAGTATTCCTTGTCGAACTCTATCCTGGCCAATCCTTTCCGGCTGCTACTCATGTTTGCTTCCGATTCCCGACACAGTGTGTTCTTTGACCTTCACCTTTTCCGTTTCCCTTCTGGATTCCAAGTTATCACCTTGCTTCGTGATGCACTTCGACGATTTCCGGAATGTATGTCCTATCCGCTCGCAACGTCTTTTCCGAATTTTCTCTTCAGTTGGAAGATGGTTTGTTCTCTCACAGTAGCCTTGCTGATGGTATCCAACCAATGGATATTGTGTATCTTGCGTAGACAATTGTTTATAAATACTTGTTTTGTTTTGATGATGATTGTGGCAGTTCTGCAAGTTCAAGATCCGTACAGTAGAACTGTCTTGACGCCTGTATTGAAGATTCTGACTTTATTATTGATTGGCAGTTGTTTTGAGTTCCATATATTCTTCAACAGTATGTGTGCTGCTCTTGCTTTATCAATCCTTTCCTTTACATCTGCATCCGATCTTCCTTGTTCATCGATGATGCTCCCTAGATACGTGAAAGATTCCACCTCTTCCAGAATTTCTCCATGAAGTGTGATTGTGTTTGTGTTCTCTGTGTTGTATTTGAAGATTTTGCTTTTTCCCTTGTGTATGTTGAGGCCTATTAATGCAGAGGCTGCTGCTACAGTAGTTGTCTTTTGCATTTGTTGGTATGTATGAGATAGAAGGGCCAGGTCATCTAAGAAGTCCAAATTGTCTAATTGATTCTGAGGTGTCCATTGTATTCCGTGCTTCCCGTCAGATATGGAGGTCTTCATGATCCAGTCGACCACCAAAAGAAAGAGGAAGGTGGAGAGTATGCAGCCTTGTTTGACTCCGGTCCTCACTTGGAATGCGTCTTTCAATTTTTCTCCATTCAAGACTTTACAGTGTTGTCCGTCGTATAAATTCTGGATGATGTTGACGATTCCAGGTAGTACATAGTATCAAAGAGGGTTCCATAAGGTTTTTCTATCCACACTGTCAAATGCTTTTTCATAGTCAAGTAAGTTGCTGTATAGTGATGAGTTCTATTCAATTGATTGTTCAACGGTGATCCTTAGTGTGGCGATTTGGTCTGTGCACGACCAAGTGTTACGGAATCCGGCCTGTTGATTCCAAAGTTGAGCGTCTTTTGAATCTTTCATCCGGTTAAGCGAAAATCTGTTGAACACTTTTCCTGGTACCAATAGTCGTGTGATGCCTCTGTAGTTCTCACATTTGCTCAGATCTTTCTCTGGCCATAATCCTAAGGAAACGGATAATTTATAAGGCTGATTATCGGCTACAATGATAAAGCATTTCCTTTCTTCTGTTTCTTTATGAATCACACTTTCAGGCCAAAGGTTTGAAGCTTGACCGATACTCAACTGTATTCAGGTAAGATATTTGGTATTGTCATTCCGTCTACCTAATTTATAATCCGGAACAAAGAAAACTAATTCACAAGGTGTAAGTAGATCCAGTAGATCTGATTAAAATTTAGTTTTCAGTTATTGGAATGTAATGATTCCCAGAATGGGGTTGTATGCGAACACCTCAGGCAGAGTGAGGGCATACAACCACCTTTCTCTCTTGTTCCATTCGAGCAGTGGGGTTAGGCAGGGTTGCCCAATCTCACCATTCCTCTTCAACTTTGCCATCGATGACATTCTGGAAACAGCTCTGATGGACGTAAGTAATTGCAGTATGGATCTGCTGCCTGGAGAACGACTTCTCGACCTCGAGTATGCGGATGATATTGTCTTACTGTGCGATAATGCTCAAGCCATGCAATCCGCACTTAATCAGTTGGCAATCAGTGTCCGCAAGTACGGTATGTGCTTTGCACCCTTCCAGTGCAAAGTACTTCTACATGACTGGCAGGATTCTAATCCTGTACTCACCCTGGACGGTGAGCAGATTGAAGTAGTTGAGAAGTTCGTGTATCTAGGTAGCTATATAAGTGCTGGTGGTGGCGTGAGTGATGAGATCGACGTACGTATAATGAAAACCAGAGCGGCTTATGCCAATCTGGGCCATGTTTGGCGCCTTCGTGATGTTAGTCTGGCTGTAAAAGGTCGGATCTACAAGACGTCGGTGAGAGCAGTTTTGCTCTATGCTTGTGAAACCTGGCCTTTCCGAGTTGAGGATGTTAGACGTCTCTCTGTGTTCGATCATCGTTGTCTCCGAAGAATTGCTGACATTCAATGGCAACACCATGTTAGTAATGCAGAGGTTCGGCATCGTGTGTTTGGGCGCAGAGACGATAATTCAATTGGTGTCACTATCTTGAAACACCGACTTCGGTGGCTTGGACATGTTTTACGAGTGTCGTTTCAGAGAATTCCACGTGGTGGTTGGATAAAACGGAGAGGTGGTCAGTGTATGACATAGTGTTGTGGTATGAAAGAAAGCTGCAAAGGGCTAGCTTTTGTTGGTCCTTCACGACTCCCTGGCTGGGATCCGAGAGATGGTGCAACACAGTGGCTAGAGACGTTATCAGATATGGCTCAGAATAGAAGCCAGTGACGATCCTGCTGTAACCTTCTTTTACTTTCTTCATAAATAGTGGTTATAACTTTCTTAACTGAGAGAGTTCTTCTGGTTGTACTTTTCAGTTGCCCCCATCATTACTCTTTTCTTTTTTTATCCTTTCTTTTTCTTTTATATATACGCATCTTCCCCCTTTCTTTTCCCATTCTCATTATTTTGTGTGGCGCATATGTATCTGGTGCCCTTTTGTACCAACATGTATGTGTTTAAATAAATAAATAAGTAAATGGGGTTCCGGGATTATGTAACTTCCTAGCTTTAAACTGTCAGACATGAGTCATAATGAAAGACTACTGATCCTGGTTTAGTTATCCATTGTTTTGTATTTCTGAGAATTATAAAACCTATCTCTTTTTATTTGAGGTGTATTCCTCGATAATTTTCATTCGTATTTTATTATATGATTTTCTTTATTTAGTTGGTTGATACATTACTGTTATTTCTGTCTCTGGGGGACATTTCTCGGCTCTTGTTTTTGTAAACCATATTTTTAGTATAAAAAGTGATTAAAATTTAAAATCTTTGTCCAATAAATAAGACATTTCTGGTTCCTCCACAATCTGTGACTAGGGGAAAAGTTGGAAACACTAACAGCATTTTATATAAGATATAAGGCTAGGTCTTTAATTTATGTTCACTCTTAATAATGAACTCAAGAATTTTCAAAGTGGATTGCCACCTAGATTTACTATTAATGGGGTCATATTCCATTCTAAAAGTTCTAAGTATAAATAATCTGGCTCATAAATTTGAAACAAAGCAAGCACTTAATGCTTTTTTCAAAGAGTTAAATTGAAATGTATTATGGTTTTTAGTGTCTCGATTTAACAGCTCCTGTATTTTAAATATGGACCACTATCAATCCTAAGTCGTTTAGTCATATTCCCTTGGATTTTTGAACCGAGACTTATCAATAATATGTGCGAAATTAAGGTTAGTAGCATTAAGACAAAAGCATTACTTATGCCATGGAAAGATTACTTATTAAATTGAGCTTTATTGGCTTATTTTAAACATAGTCTCGATTTTCAGAGCTTTTTTCTCTTTTAGTTATGTATGATGTGTTATTAAACAAAGAGCAAATAGTTCTTCCTGTTTCTTGTTAAATATTCAAAGAGATAATTTGTTCTCATTCATTTTCGCTTCCCTTTATGATTTCCTTGTGTTATGGCTCGCATTGATACGTTCTTATTTTCCGTCCAATTAATTTCAGCAAATATTCCATCTTTGCTTGTTTTACAGATCAGATATAATTGTACCCGTGATGGGTGTACTAGCTCTGATGTTGATAAAAAATTGGTTGAAGAACCCTTAAATACAAACGATCCGACCATTATAGTGTACAGAGTAAATAACGTAGTCCGCGCCGTAAGTGCTCCATCGGGGATTGAAAAGTGGAATTTGAGCGTTCATCAATACGAGCTTTGCCTGTTAACTGGTGGAATTCCTACCCCAACTACTGCCGTGCAGAAGACTTCACCTATTTGTAACGTACCTTTGGGTACTACAGTAAGTTGTTTATATACTTTATCAAACACTGACATAATGGAATATTTTGGTATATGTATGGGACTGTTTTATGCGGCTTTTCTATGAAACTGGGTTTTCGTGATAATAATAGTTGTACGAGTATTTAATGTGCATCTAAAACTGGTATTATTGTGGCAAGCGAACTCTTTAACAAAATGTAAAAGTTCTTCGTGATTATAATAATATTTATGTTTCGAAACCATTGTAATTCTGACTGAATCAGTTGGACCAATTTTTTTTATTATTCAAAACAAGCAAGTACTAGTACAAATGTCCATCAGAATGAATATGAAGCGTACAAATACAAAAACAAAATTGTGAAAAGTTAGACAGAGGGTAAATGAAATCAAGATAAATAAATGAATCGAATAATTGAGCGAGCATAGTTTATAATAGGAGAAACAGTTCAGACAAAAAATACAACCAAGAAGACTTCTTTCAGTTAAAAGACTTCCTCTCACTCCTATGAATAATGTAAAAGAAAACTACAACACGACTGCCATTGGCTTCTATTTTGACCCAATTCTGACAAAGTCTAGCCACTGAGTCTTACTGTCTCTAGGATCCGGACCAGGGAGTCGTGATAGACCGATAGACACCAGTCCTATACATCGTTATTTCGTTCCGTAGTGTCTTTTCATACACTGATCCTCTGCCCTTAACAACCATTCCCAGTGTAAACAAATAATGGGCTATGTGGAACCTTTTATCAATCTAAAACATTTTATTTAATTTTATTTGTATTATGTGATTTCATGCAACGGGATTTATTATAATATAACATTACATTCTGGTTAATAAACTTAGATTCTGAACTCTAGTAATAAGTCAACGTCTGGCCAAGTATAAACTTTTAATTTAGCTGAATGATTAGAGTGCTACTAGAATATCATGTTGTAAACCGTTTCTCTTTTTTGTCCTCCTTCATATTAAAGTGTCACAAGAAAGATTAACTTATTATCATACGTGGAATAACATTTAATGTATACTTATATGATTTCATCATTACCCCATAGCAATTTTCTAACAACAATAATCGGTAATTTAAAACAATTGGATTTTGGATAGATCTCACTATAAGATGACTATCTCGTAATATTTGCTTTTTTCATCTTTAGCATACTCACAAAAAGTTTGTAGATGAGTCATTTGTTGATATGGAAGAACCAGATTGGGATATTGGACTAGACAAACATACAATAACTGCAAGAACTAAAGGTTTACAGTCTGAAGAAATATGGTCCTACAACTTTAATTCAAGGATTTCAAAAGCTTGGATTTATCGTAGAGACTTACAAAACTTAAGACCGCTGTCACTGTTTATGTGTAAGTTTTCCTATTCAGTGTACGTCAAATGTTACATTTACTATGGGTGTAACATACGTGACATATCTTCATATTTTGCTCTAAACCAAACAGGTATAGACCTATTTTTCGTTGTTAGACATTATATCACTTAGTATTTTTGAAACTAATGATTGGTTTTTCAAGAGTCAATTTTAATTGACAAATCAGTCCTGGCCAAGGACTGCTAACGAGTCCCGTGCTAGGTTGTAAAATCTATTGACAAATCATCACTTTTAGTAGTTATCTAACTAGTGCGATTAATTTGCTAAATACAAGTTTAAATCATCTAGCTTCAGGCCTCGTATTTTTTGCATATAAAGACTGGTAAGACTATTTGTCTAACCAAACCAATTTAGTTGTAGTGTGATTTTTATCTGCAAACTAATATTTACAAGTTAGTTATCTCATACGATAAACCATCAATATCAACTTTTAATAAAAATCATTTTAAAATCAGACGGTTGGTTCTTTTATTGTTGACTTTATGAGAAAATCAATTGTAACTCAATGACACTCACTTTTTGCTTCACTATCTTCCTTTGGTTGTTAAAAGGTTGATATTCTTCAATCATTCACTACCATATCTAACCTAGAAGCTCATTTGACGATTAAAGTTATATGGAAAGCGTTTACAAATTTTACACATTTCAATTAGTCTCTATGTCAAATGAGTCTAAGTCATTTACACGATGTGTTTTTTATACTTAGCTAGTCAGTCGTAAACAATGATCACATAGTAGTTACCAAATTTTTGAGATGGTTGTTACTGATTTTAATCTTTACCTGTGTTTGGTACTATCTACATAACCCTATTCCCGATAAAACTAGGATGGTTTCAGACCTGAATGTAGATGTATAGACCAAATATTCACCCTTTGGCAGTTTCTGGAACGTGAACATACATTTCGACGTCCGACTATAGTTGTACTCTTCGGCCTTAAGGCGGCGTTCGACTCCCTTGAAGTTCTACTGTAGCGTTTGCCATTGAAAGGCATACCAAAGAAGTACCTTAACCATGTATAAGCTCCATACTTGAATATTATTGGTCGGGTCAGAGCTTATGATCAACTGTAATTAGAATCGATTACTTCAAGTGGTGTTCGTCAAGTTTGTCTTCTCTCCCAATTTTTATTTGACTTTATCATAACATGCTTTTAGAGGTAATACTTTTATCCTTTACCGGGAGATTCCCTTATGACTTAGAATACGCAGACGATACAGTTCTGTTTGATAATGCTGACAAAATGCGGAATCTTCTGACCATCTTTGGCAACAGCGCAAGCATGTTTGGGATATAGTTCTTTCTTTCCAAATATAACATGTTACTTCAGGATTGGCTTGGATCATCGCCTAAATTAGTGATAGGGCGTGAAGCGTCTGAACTCATATACTACTTCACTTATATTCGGAGTCCCATCAGTTCTGACGGTCTGGGGTCTGACGAGATCTCGGCACGGATTCAGAAGGCTTGAGTGACTTTTTCCCACTTCACTTTTGGGAATTTTGCTTCATCCTACCTTATGGATGTAGAACATATCCATTAAAAAGGAGGATATTCGTAGGTTACTAGTAATAGATAACAGGTGTGTTCAAAGTATTGCTCATGTATTTTGGGACAATCGAGTAAGCAATTCCTGGGTCAGGAATAAGATATTTGTTAAGGATGGCAAATCGATTGATGTGATAGTAAATCTCCATCAACTGAGGTGGTTGAGACATTTGTTACGTATGTCCAACCACCACCTATCTCGACGGGTGATATGCGATGTAGGAGTAACGTGTAATAAAGTTAAGGGACTACAGTTTATTTTGTCTATCGAGCATAAAAAGTGATTCATATTTATTACTTGTTAATCGCAGTAGACTAATTTCCCAACAGATCTAATTACTTCCACAATAACTCTACATGATCTTTTTTATCACACATTATGGTGTATTAATTATTTCACCCCAATAATCATCCATGAATGCAAACCGAGCTAATGCCATATAGACAATTAACGTAAAGCAAAACAAATTTCAATCCTCAATACTCACTGTTCTTTGTTCAAATATTTTGCTTTAAGTAGAACTATAGAATCATTCATAACGTCTGAATTCACTCAGTGTCTATCGTTTGTGCATATCATGATTTATTTCCTATTCGTTTTTTCCGGACGTTGTGTTCGATTAATGTTTTACATGTATTTTGTATGTAGATATTGTAATCTAACTTCCAATAATGCTAGAATGTTAATGCTAATTTTAGATGACAGAGTTGCCTTACTATTAATTGAAAAGGTGAATGAATTTAAAAAAGCAACTGCCATTTCAAATTTGGAATCATTAAAAGAAAAGGGCTTGAACCTGTTCAATGGGAAAAATACTCTTTCCTCATCACGTAAACAAAAACCTGATTGTCCATCACGCGATCGTCTTATTTATCTTGGTAGCTTAAATGGTCAGCTGTATGTCCAAGTAAGTTCATGCAATCCAAGTGATGTGGTATTGAATGGAAGTTGTGAACTTAACTACAGGTTTCATTTTCAAAAGTGATATAATCAGTCAGTTTGTCAAACAGTAAAACCTTGTTTCAGACAAACTTTATTATAGTAGCTATGGTTTTGATCGTCCATTTTAATAAAGTACAAAAGTAATCGATGTAATAACCCTTGGATATTCTACATTATGCTGACAATAACAATTTTTTGTGTAAGGTTTGTATGAACCACTTTTAATCTAATTAAAGAGTACAACTTCTCTTCATCATGGTTATTAAAATAATACATTGTGGTCAAGTGTGCCGTAGGGATTGTGCTTATTATGAACTTAGCAATTATATGAATTTTGATTTGAAGTTTTGTAGATCTGGCACCAGCTGGTTTCATATTTAACAAATTTTAAAAGCATTTTCACAATTTCATTTGAATTTCAAGATTTACCTTGATGCATTAAACTCCAGTTCACTAGTAAGCGGTAGACTCAAAGTTAGTCATTGCTAAAGGGAACCGTTGTGAGTTTTCTCAGATGCTTGCGTTATAAAAGAATTTGTTGACATTTTTATACTTTTCTGTACGCGTAGATTAGTTCTCAGCTAATATTATTCTAAATAATTATGTTATGTTCTATCCCTTTAATTCAGACTGAAGATGGTGTTGATCTTCCCAATCCGGAAATGATAAATCTGTCTAAAAGTTTATCTACAAATTCGGCTGAATCACTGAATAATCGTCGTTTTGATCTAACTGGTTACTATCAAGCATCCTATTCAAACTCGCCCAAATTGAAAAAATATACACAACCATTTCTTTTATATGATAGTGTTGAAGAAACAATTGAAAAGGCTACCGCTTTAGGATTTCCAAGTAGTGTGGGACAATTCAAACCTGTTCTTGGTTTTCAACCGGAAACAATACCTGAAAAGGCTCTGACTTCAACTGATATCGAAATGAGTGACACTAGTGGTATACCAGGACATTTTCTTGATAATGCCAACGATTTACTCATGCTCCTATTACGTGCCAGTGAGATTGCTGTAAATCATTCACCGTCTGGTATTGAAAATAGTAGGTCGTTAGGATTTAATCTGTCTGCATATTTCATGCAATTGCTTGTTTTGACTGGAGTAATTTATTTTACGGCACATTGGATAATGAATGTGAAAATTAACTATGATACACAGTAGGTTTCTTTTTTTTTATAAAAAAAAACAAAATGCTTAAATAAACTTCTATTTTATTTATCTTTTAGTGATCTGCCAGTTGATTGTTATTTATTTACTGCACTAATTGCACAATGCTTAGATTTGAGGTTATAAAATACACCGACTAATAAATAGTCTATTTTATGTGTTCTACATTAGTTTCATTGTGTACATAGAATCCATCTAATTCTAACACATCTTTACACTTGGATAGTGATATCTAGGACAGGATTTTCTGTATATCTAAACCATACTCCTATATTAAATAGGAATAATATATTTGTAAAATCTCAGCGAATGAATTTGAAGTAAATCCAACTTTTCGTCTGCCAATGTAGTCCAAGCTTTTTCAAGGCATTTTACAAATATATTATTCCTATTTAATGTCTTACATCAACTCGGCGCTCAAATACTGTGAAACTATTCGCTCTAATGTAGACGAAAGTCCTTATATACTCCTATATTGTTTTCACAAGTATAGATTGGGAAATACTGTTTTTTTATTAGTATGCTATCCTTTGGATTACAAATCAATTAGCTAGTGCAAATTGCTTAAAATAACACGGGCTGGGTTGATGTTAGAGTAACACATTTTTCTTATATAATAAAATACTTTGATTGTTATTAAAACTTAAATAGGAATGATATATTTGTAAGATCTCAGCGATTGAATCTGAAGCAAATCCAACGTTTCGCCTGGCAATCTGGTTCAAGCATTTTCAAGGAAATTAAAACTGTTTTTCAATGTTTTAGTCTAATGTTGAATTAACTTTAAGTTTTATATTCTACTGAATCATGTAAAAAGAGATAATCGATTCACACAAGTACAACAATACTGTTATTTGACAAAACTTATAACTAGTATTTTAATGCCTACATGTTTGTTAGCATACTTCTATGGAGTTTTAATATGAATCTCTGAAGAAAAAAAACATGATAAGGTATCTAAAAGATGAGCTGTTGATTCTTTTCAAATGATAATAGATACAATGGTAGTAGCGAATATATTCGATTTTGTTCTTTTTTTAAACTTTGAAAATTAAATAACTATGGACTGAGTAAAGCCCATCAGTATTAATGAAATATTGAAATTCAGAATGATATTAGTAATAGCTGTTATTTTGCCAAGTCGCTTAGATTCTTCAGAAGTAAAAGGAAGTCATTAGTTATTAAATAAATAATATATTTGTAATATCTTAATGAGTAGAAAAAATAGATTTTCTGACATTTCGTGACTCAGTGTAAGCCACTTCTTCAGAGAATAAATAACCAAAATTGGTTATTTACATTGAGCAATGGGACTTTGTGGGGATTTTGATTGTTACGAAGTTTTGTGAACATTTACTTAAGTTGACTTATCATCATTCCAGTAGGCTGAGGGTGGTAAACTGTAATACCTTTTGTGAATTTTCTTATTAGCTGTCATTTTTGAGTAATGTGCTGCTATATGTTTTTCTCAAAAATAGCCTTTCAATTTATGACAACCATTCCTAATATTTGGTGATCCTTTCAATCCACATATGATGTAGCTATTTGTCTCTAAAGCTACACAGTGAGCAGCAAAGTATTAGATTTTTATGTTACAAGTGTTTAATCACGGATAAAACACTAAGGCACCAAGCAGAAGAGTGGCTTAATAGCTAAAACACACAGTGTTCAACCATTAGGTCATAGATTTGAATCTCGCTAGACCTACTTACCAAGGCTTAAACCTCCAGGTAGTTTCACTAACCCTCACACCTTAAATATGACCTAAAACCGGGCACAGGAACATATATTTTGTAAGTTCGTTATCTAAAATACCAATCAAAATTAATATTAGCCTTACCGCGTTCATGACTTCTTGAATACGAAATAAATGCTCAAATCAATACACTTCGGATCAGTGACTGGCACTAAAAATAACTTACTACTAATTTTAAGCAGAATTTTTCCATTTTGAAATTCACGTAGTTTTATTTCCTTTGCAGAAGTGACATACATCAAGTCACGAAACGTCAGAAATACAATTTTCTATTCATTGGGATATCATAAAAGTATATTTATTGTTGACTTAGATATTGTTTTTTCATAAATTTAGGTTGAAAAACTATTCGTTTCAATCTGAGCCGTGTAATTTAGAATCAGTTGTTGTCAAAACACACAGTTCATCGGAAAATTTGTGTGATACACTGAAGTGTCTATCATGTTCAACTCCGAATAATTTAACATCAAATCCTTCATGTCAGTCTCTGCTTACTACTGCCAATACTCAACCACCTAGTTTTATTTCACCATTTGAAACAGATTTCAAGTATATACGTCGACTTGGACGTGGTGGTTTTGGTCAAGTGTTTGAAGTTGAAAATCGTCTTGATGGTTGTCGTTATGCTATCAAACGTATTAAAATGAATGATACCGACGATGATAAAAATATATTTCTACGAGAAGTAAAAGGTATGCATGAAAAAACAATTTTAAATTCCTTAACTTTCTTCACTATGATAGCAAACACTATGTGAATTTGAGATCATAAAATTTTGTTGCATATTTATAAACTTATCCTGTTTAATGTCAACAAAATCGGAATGATATAGTAATCCACTAACTTTCATTATACAAATTTTGCTAGTTATTTCATATTAAAGTATATATTATAGACATTTGATTGAATAACCGTTATGTTATGTGTTCAACATTCAACGAGTCTATAGAAATGACTACATTCATATCATTGCTAGTATTGTTAAGGCTAAAAATATTCTATTTATTCTTTTCGTTGATATATGTATTTTGGTTTGGTTAATTCACCTGTGGGTTTTCTGAAGCTCTATTTTTAATTCATTCATAAATCGATTAAAAAAAATAGTTTTTCAGTATTGAAAAAAGATTTTGTACACAATTGCATGCGAAATCTTTTTTTTATTTTGTGATTCTTCTCTCAGCTTTAGCTACACTTGACCATCCAGGCATTGTCCGCTACCACCGAGCTTGGAAGGAATATCCTCCTTCTGGTTGGCAAGAGTCACATGATGAATTAGTACTCGGTTTATCTGACGACTTAACTTCCAGAAGCAGCGATTTTACAGATTGTGGGAACAACGAGAATTGTCTGTCAAATACTTTTTTCTCGTCAAATGTCAATTCGCGCCATTCCAGTGTATCGCTCTGCGTGGATAAAAGCTCAATAGGATTAAATGAGTCTCACCACTCCAGGTGCGTCATTTTTTTATTTAAATTAGGGTTATTAACTCGATGTTTAGAATTATTTGAACTGGGTTTTTATTTGTTAATAAACTTGGATTAATCAACTTAAAATGAACTACTAATTTTTATTATCCTGGGGCATAAGAACCCTCCATTTGGGTTTCTAGCGAGAATCGAAACCTTTCTGAGTTGATCGAGTGTTCCATATGAAATGACTTATATCATATCATGCTAGATACCAATGTTTCACAAGTTGATCGTAGTTGAGGATTACAGTCGGTAAACTAGTACTCAGTGACTTGGGATTTTTCCATATAGTATATAAGAATAATAGTTTCTTTCCTCGAGTTAGTACTTAACGAGTAATAATGTCATTGGTCACAAACTAAAATTAATTACACAGAAACACTGTTAATCTCATTTTGGGTTCGTGATTATCAAACTTTCTTCTGTCTTTTCAATTTAACACCAGCTATTTGTATTCATTTATTTACTTTTCGTACATCTAATAACTGACAGACCTGGGCAAGTAGTTCATAGTGAAAGAGTGCATGGGATTACTAAACATATTGAATCAATCTGTTAAATATTCACTATCAAACAACGTAACATTAATCTTACATCATTTCTTTTTGTGAATTTTTATCATTTTCCCACGCTACACGTTACGTAGTTGTGTATATTTCTTTAATATTACTAGTGATATGTTACACAGTCTGTCTTTCACAAGTTGAAGTACTGTCATAATGAATGAGAGGAATTCCCTTCCTCTTTAAGCTAATCAGAAAATATAATATAAACGGATTTTTTATCACGGAAAATGATTAAAGTTGAATGGTATATAAACATTTTACATGTTTAATAAAAACTGCAAGGTTCCTTATAAACTTCTGTGACTTATAACTGGAGTATTTTCCGTATAGAAATCCATAGATTTGCCTCAAAGTCTATCCTATAATTCTTAAGAGATACTACAACATAATAAATGAATCATGTATAATTAAGTACTCTCCACCTGTAGGTTCCCTCTTTTTCCATGTGCATTTACACTCTTTTAGCGTCATTTTGTATCAACAATGATATTTTCATTCATTTTTCTATTTGTTGTTTGAATTTTTCTATTGATGTTTAGGACTGCAATTGATCAGTTTCTTATTGACATGTGTGTATCCTTCGCGGATTGCCTCAATATTGCCTTATGTCACAAGCATTATAAGGAGAGATGAATGGTGGCTAGCAGTGGAATCCAGGTCGCGCGTTTCGTCCCGTTTGGGACTCGTCTCAGAGTTGATGTTCACTCCGAGACTCGAATGATATTTTCATTTCTCTAAGCAATTTAATATCCTGTAAGCAGTTAGTGGTATCACCATCGAGATAAGCCAGAATCCGGTCGATGGTCATAATCATTGTGTAGTTTGCCTTATGCCCTCAGATTAGCCATTTCAAGCGTGGTTCATATTTGATTTTTAATTAGGAAACTATCTACATTCTTCTGTTGACCGAGAACCAATACTGGTAGAATTTTTCTAACAACACATTCACTCAACTACAATTACATATGAAGAAAGTAGTGTTTCGAATTCCGGATAATTTTAGCCAGTTCAACATCTTATAGTTATGAGAAGTGGATATTGAGTTCCTCACATTGCTTCTTTCCTTTTAATAACAAACCTTGAAAATTACTCGCAAATTATTCTTGTAAAATCAAATACAACTTAAAAGGTGTATCGTAGATACAAAAATCTCAGTTCATACAACACTGTAGTGGTTGCGGTTTGTATGAGGACTGTGATACTGCCCAGGTACCCAAATCGAAGCAGGTGGTTTTCTTAGGGGCCCACACCCGGAGCCTTTGACCTAAAATCCTGATTCACAAGGCAGTGGAGCATCGTGAAGAGATGCAGTCCCATAGTATCCGGTGACCAACAATTGATTCATACGCCATTTGTTCCTTCAGGATACTGGAGCCCATGTGCACCATTGGTTTGGAATCAGGGTTTTCCAACTCCCCTAGGTGAACTTTCCGTATTCGCCAACTCGGGTAAAGCGCCGGACAGTCGCTTTTCGTCCTCTCGATTTCATAAACAACACCCCCGCCACGAGAAGGCAGTGAGTAGGACTTCCCTGGCAGAGGCTGTATACGCGTGGTCATGTGAGAGGATTTGGAGAGGGAGAGCGGACTCTCACCACTCTCGGCTGTACCAGGGCATTTGGGGGCGGGCCCGTGGTACGACAAAGTCGGTGGGGACTACTGAAATCCAGTCATAATATCACAGAATTTGTTGAAAAGTTTCCACCTTTAAAACCTCCAGTTATAGTTTTCTACAATAATCAGCTGAGTTTACGGCACATCAGCTAGATCAAGCCCTACAAACAGTAGGTCAAACAAACTCATGAGAACCATTAACGTAGTAAATTAGAGCACGCAAACATTTGAAGGGCATTCACCCTTACGAATTAAATCATACAAAAAACCTGTTTAAAGAGAAGGGTGGAGGTTGAAGTACAAATTTATTCCTCAATGGTAATTAGTGAGTATTAAAGGAGTGTCTTCAACAATATTCCACTCATGTGGCTATAATTTACAAATTAACAGAAATGTGACTTTCATGAAAACTGAATAATACATGAAATAAGTCAAGCCTTTGAACTATCTCTCATCATTTTGTAGGAGGAGATGATAGAGTGGTCAAGGTTTCAATTCATTAGAGAGTGAGCTGTCTACAAAATTGATATTCTCCAATCGTTTATCACTTCTCGTTGTGTTTACTTAGTGTCACTATTTTGTGTTTAAGCATATGATTTAAATAGAAGCGAATCTACTCTACTGGCTATCTGTTTTATCCATTTTTAATATCATAGCTCTCTTCCACTTATAAAATTCTACTTCATACCTGAATTTCCCACCGAAGTGTTAAACGAATATAATCCTCTTATTTCAACTTTATGTCTTATGTTCGAAATCTTACTCAGCTGGAGAACTGAAATATTCAGGGCTTGTGAGAAATTTTGAATTACCTTATACTCCGTTAATCTCATTCAATTACGACTGATGTTTACAGGACTCAAACGTTTTCCTATATTAGAAAAAGTTTTAGTTGTTTTATTTTTGATTGCATTTCAGCTATCGGAAGCTTTCAAAAGCTTGTTTGGATGACAGTCTTATTGTTTTTGATCATCAAAATAGTACTGAAACATTTTCATTAGATGGTTCAAGCCTTACAGAACAATCCATCAAAGATAAATCTAAAAATGAAACTAAATATACATGCTACTTGTACATTCAAATGCAATTATGTTCGCCAATAAGCTTACGTGATTGGCTTGTTTCTCATAGTATTCCAGAATCACGCCCACCACGCGTTGAATTGATTTGTATGTTTCGTCAAATCGTTGAAGCTGTAGCCTATTTACATGATCATTCTTTAATGCATCGTGATTTGAAACCTTCAAATATCCTGTTTGATTTAACCAATCGTCTTAAACTTGCCGATTTTGGTTTAGTTACTTCTATGGTTGATGACAAATTAAATCAGTCAGATAGCTCTTATATTAATTGTAATAAACAAGGGGAACAGTCCTCAAGTTTTCCAGTGACTACTATTGTAAGTGATTTAAATGGTCAATCAGAGCATAATAATAACAATGTCATTATCGATCGACAACTATATCCTTTGAAAGAAATTAGCACTGCTCAACAAAAGCGTTCTGTATTGACACGTAGACATACTGATCACGTGGGAACAGATCTATACATGAGTCCTGAACAAGTGAGATATTTTAGCTAAATTATGTTTTAAAAATCATTATCATTTGATTAGTTATTGTATTATTGCAAAAGCATAATTTGTGTTGACGGCTTTCACATTTTTCTGATTTTTAATTCTTTCGCTGAAATTACCAAGTCTCTGTAAATGGTGACTAATGGTTACTAATTCCAGTTAATGTATTCCTGTTTTATTAAGATTACAAACTGACTGAGAAACATTGAAGTTTTTCGTCTTTAGTTTCGTTTCCGTTAAAACACACTGACTTACCCTTTAGAAAATGAACTCACTATTATTTGAAACGTAATGATGATATTCTGTCATGGCTGTGAACTAACTCGATTCCATCGTTTCCACTTGGTAGTTTCAATAGTTTTGGCCAAACAGACGCTTGATGAACGGTATATTTATGAATTTTCATGAGAATGTTTTTAAAAGTCATGTATATCATTGAATTCCCATCTTATTTAGCCACTTCAGTGTCTTTCTTAAGCGTTTTTAACAAGAAAATCCGATGAAGATCTTGGTATCCCATACTGATATGTCGTTGTTCACTGAAAAATTAATGTCCATTTCAATTCTTTTTAGCTGAGTTAGAAAAACTTACGATATGGTTAAGGTCATATACGATGGGTTCATTTACTTCAAGTATAATATATTACACTTGGCCTACTTAGTCTATGACTATCTGTCTTAATCACATTCCATCGATGAAACGACTCATGGTAATTTATAAGTTCGTCGACACACCATTATACCACACGTACCGCAGTGGTTGGTATGTTTTCTTGATTGTCTGTTTTATGGAAGAACAAGAATAAAATGCCTTAAAATTTACTGATAAAATGTTTCACGCAGTTCAGGATATCCCCTACAAGCCAATATTATCGTCAAGTTCGGTTGACGAAAATGAATGCTATCTAATCACTGTTCAAAATGTTTTTCATATGTTTAAATTTTGTATAGGTTAAATGACTAAAGGAAATAGGTTTATTTCACTGCTGCTTATTTTGTGCTGAGGACTCTTTACTGTAGTCAAACATGTCTTCTTGATTATAGCAATTATGATAATCGGTCGTGACTAATTGCTTTAAACACTCTTCTATGTTTGATTATAAAGGATCTGTTTTCTCAGTAGATCATTAACTATGCTAATAGGTTATTTATTAAATCCTTGCTTATGATAGTAACGAGCTTTCAATTGTTCTAGGGCGTTATGTATTATATTATATATATTATAATAAGCTGGAATCTATTTTCATAATACGCCCCACTACAAACAATACTTGGTATTTCACCAAGTATATATTTGTTATTATGTAACCAATATTGTCACGACTTTTTGTAAATCTAACTGTGAATTTTTAATCGTTGAAACTTTCAGGAACGAGGAGATAATTATAATCATAAAGTGGATATCTTTTCATTGGGACTGATCTTTATTGAATTGTTGATAATATTTAATACATCAATGGAAAGAATATTTACATTGACCCGAGCAAAACATCAAAAACTTCCTAAGGAATTTATAATCTGTAATCCATTCGAAGTGAGTTTATTTCTTACCACGTTGTTTTGATGATAATGTTGTACGTAAAACAAGACAAAAATGTTTGTCAAAGTGTTTCATCAAAGATATTTTTGCTATGATTTAGAATTTTTATGGTTGATCAACAATTTCTTGATTTTCATAGTTGAAAGCGTGAGTCAATTTGAAGCCAGACCACCATGGAAAACCTATTATGGGACTCCTCAGCAGTGCGCATCCATGATCCCGCACTCACGAGATTTAAACCCAGGACCTACCAGTCTCGCGCCAGAGCACTTAACCGATAGACCACTCAGCCGGCAACCAACGGTGTTAATGTCTAACTTCAACTGATCCACGAAGTTGAGCAACCGTTCACCAATCGTCTTCAGTGAGTTGATATCTCACAACAGACGTGTTTTGAACTCCACTGGCCACTGCTTCTCACTAGAACTCCTGGATTTACCTCTCGAATCAGTCACTAGTGAGCATATGATTATTATTATTATTATTATCAGAAGGGGTTTTGTGGAGACTTAGTATTTTCATAGTTGAAAGCGTGAGTCAATTGAAGCTTTCAACTATGAAAATACTAAATCTACACAAAACTCATTCTGATAATTTCTTGATTATCAAAATTAAAAACAAACACAAATGCTAATCGATAAATGATACTCTGTGACCGAGTGATGACTCATCACAAGATCGAATTACTAATTTAAGATCAAAAACAAATCACTAGTCATATGAATCTATTTTTTATTGAGTAAAATCACTTGCTTATACAGAAAAAACGGCCGTCCAGTGTTTCCAGGTTTTCCATGGTGGTCTAGCTTCAATTGATTCACGCTTTCAACTATGAAGAAATTATTAACACAAAAATAAACATGATTGAATGTTATAAATAAGTGGTTAATTTCAGTTTTGTAGCCTCTTTACTCTCCAATGAATTAATTCCCAACTACAAAACCTAATTCTAGCTCGTCATTATCGACTTCATATTGATTAGTTGTGCTATTTTGCTTTAAATATTTTAATTTGGATTTGTATATTATTCCAATTCATGATTAGTGTAGCTCATACTATGTTATGGAGTTCGATTCTATTATTGTGTACTTTCTTAACTGCTGATCAACTAAAAAGTTCAGAGTGAGAAGTCCAATGATGTATGTAGAGTATTGTTGCCTAAGGCAGAATCATAGTACTTACCATTCATGAATATTTGTAAATGATCAAATTGATTTTTACAAATACATGTGGTCAGTGATCTTTAGTAGGTAAATATTTTACTTAAACTAATCCTCGTACACTTTCTTTAAAACATTATATAATGTTTTTTTTTGGTTACTGACTTAATAGTATTCTACTAACTTGTTATAGAACCCTTAATCTTTGTTTGGTTGAATGGTTTGTAAAGATATTAACTTGACTTGATGATGGTTAATGTCAAGACATGACAAAATATATTTTCAGATTGCTGTATTATGATCAGCTTGTCTTTGATTCTTTGTCTGACTGATCATTATTACATGTTTAGTTTTTCCTGTATTTTGGTGACCATTAAGTTAAAGTAATGAATTCATTCAGCTTAATCTGAGTAGTCAGCATAATTTTTAGCTTGAATTATAAAGCTACTCACCAAGTTCAGTACGTATTTTTTGTTTATCGATTTTTGTATTGTCATTTCTATTGTTGACGAGAATTATTTCAGTTGACATCTTGGTTAGTTAATCAACTTTCCTGTTTACTAGCATGTTTTGTTTACGAATTTTCTTACAAAAAAATCTGTTCAAGCTTCTCATGATAGAAAACGATATTCTACGATTTTATTCTATCATTCTATTGATAATCTATGATTCATTATGGATCAGTTTTGCTGTTTAAATTTTTAAACAAGTTTGAAATTTAACTGAAAGAGTTATTTTACATTTCACTTCTGTTTTTAATTTATTGACATATAATGGAAAAAGTGGTATTATTAGTTATCTATTCTACAGTTATAAAAATAGACTCTCCTTCTCTCTGGCACATAATTCCACACGAAACTGTTATGACGTTATAAAAAAATTAGACGTATGCTAATTGGTTATTGATTTTATGTCCGCTCTTTATCACGTGAGTTATCCGCCAATTGGAATACGACTTTTCCGATTTTAACACTGTGACAAATCAATGACGTTCGACCAGTATGAGCAGTCTAGCGTCCTTAATGGTCCCTTGTCCGCCTAGCTCTTTTAATTAAGTCCAGAACACCAATTACAGCTTCAGCTATGCAAATCATTGATTTCAAGCACACTCGGTTTATATACCAGACAGACAGACCACATCACACCATAAAATAGAAAATAATATTTGTACAAAACTGCCAAATGTGGCTGTGAACGTGGGAGACAATAATCAATAAACTAAGTATAATTTAGGAACAGTAAATCGTATAATAATAATCACTAGGTCAAAATGAAGCTTATAATAAGATGAATATAGATATACACAATCTAGTTACTTAATAGTTAAACTATAAGAATTTATATGGAATAATAGTCCATTAATAGGTCCTGGAAGTTACCTGTACTCATGTCTTCGCTAGGATATAACAGAAACAATTTGAGTTGATATGAAAATTCGTAAACTCACTTCAAGATTTGATTAAAAATCCATACTGACCATGTCGGAAACCATTAAGGCAATGATAGTAATCTTGAATGCCTAACATTCCATTTATTATGTGAAAATCATATTGTCAAAGTTTCTTTAATCCTAAGGAGATAATCCAAATTTGTTAAACAGTATTTTTATCATTCACATTTATTTAGACTGAATTCGTGCTCAAACTTTTGGATTATGATCCAGTTAAACGTCCTGATGCTCCTGCAATCTTAGAAAGTGCACTTATTAAACAATCTGTTTCATAGAAGTTATGATGGGGTATTCGTTTTTTCAATACCCAAACCACAAATTTGTCAGATTTTTTTTGTTACATCTTAATATATTTGTTTATATTTTAATTTGATAACCTCTCCTGTGATCTGTAAAGTGAATATGTTTTTTATACAATGGATTCTGTTGTTTTTCCGCAAAACAAGGTTTTCTTTCATCACACAGAGCTATTTTATTTCTGAACTACATACGTCGTGATTGTAAGTTTAAGTGGATATCAGTTAAGGAGGTTATAAATCATTCAGATAGCTATTCGATAAAGGCTTAAAACTTCGCTCAAAGTGTCAAGGTCCCAATAGCCAGGTAATACAAGTGACTTTCCAACATAGTGTATTACTTGTAATTGTACTTAATTAGTGAATTGTGCTACTACCAAACACACAAACAAAATTTGAGCGAATGCTAGGTACATATAACTGTTAGAAAGGTGTCAAATAGCCTATTACTTCCCTGGTTTCGTTAGTATGACTCTAACTGATGTTTCATGGAGAACTAAGATTTCTGTGACGATATTAAATTCAACAATAATAAGCAACTGCAGGGCTTGTATTCTTTAAGTTCATTTCAGTAGAAAACTAGTTGTTCCATATATCTGGCGTAAATTTCGAAGCTCCCAACCTTCTGTTGATGAGATTGTTAGTGGCTGTTTGCATATGAGTATGTCTTCTGACCATTCATGACGTTTGTATTGGCTCGGTTTCCTTAGATGACCGCCAATTAGTCTGTGATACTAAGGTTCACCTAAATAACTAAACATAAGGTCGGTGGTCAGTGCGTTTCAGAAATTATCCCTTGTTGACATATGAATACAAACGCGAAATTTTATGAATATTAGTTGTGCTACAATACAGAACAGACATGAATTGACCTAATGTTATTGTAATTGGAGCATATAACAACCAACGTATACATATATTCAAAAGTACATTCAAATTTTATGAGGTCTACTGTTTCTTTAGATCAACATCTACACTGATTTACTTTATCTCTTGCGTCGTGAAAAAAAGCCTGGTTTACAACATCTGTCGCTTGTGTTATTTCGTCTTTGGCGTAGGTCTTACTTTAGGGCCTTGAACACCAAAAATTTAACAAGTCATATTGACTGGAATCTTGGCTTGTAGCAAGCCCATCCAACCATTGTATCATTTGTGTACTCTGGGTAATTTAGACATTTCATTCACCATGTAAATTTATATGTGAGTCTGATTGAGCTCATGTCTGCAAATCAATCTGTAATCTATTCTCTCATTGGTTGTAAGCAAAGACAATCAATAATTTATCCACAATCCATTAACACTCATAAATATGTATGGGTTTTTAACGCTCACTGACATATATATATATATATATATATATATATATATATATATATATATATATATATATATATATATATATTCACATGCTTTCCATGTGTGCTTGCTATCTGTACGCTTGTAGACTTTACCAAACTTTAACAATAAACTATCTCTTTGACTGGCGTCCGGGCTTTTGAATAATCTTGAGCGAACTCATAATTCTACCAAGAGATTTAGCCTATATTTTTCAAAGTTGAAATCATCAGTCGATTGAAGCTAGACCACCATGGAAAACCTGGAAGCACTGTACGGCCGTCTCGTTTTATTATGGGACTCCTTCGCAGATTCGAATAAAGGACCGAGACTGGTATATATATATATGTATATATATATATATAAGCTTATATCAGCCTCTCCAAACTTGACTTTAGTTTGAAGCAGTGAACTGTAGAGTTAACTAGTTTGTTACCAGTTCCCAACATAGAAACTACAGCTCCGAAGGAAGAAACTTAATGGCTTTTGTTAACAACTATATCATTTGTTGATTTCGTTATTACTCTGCATATTACCGAAGTGAACAAAATAGCCAATCTACATAAACTGGTGTTACTGACATTGATGCATTTCAGCCCTAAAATGTTAGAAATCTGTAACAGTAAAGAACTTTCACACAAAACTAACATTCTGGTTTATATTAATCAGTAGATTATCTCTATGTTATTCTAACACTTGGTGGGGTATTTCGACAAAGGAGACGTTTAGATAAGTGCTTATGCTTACAAAAATACATGTTTACATGCTGTCACAAACTTCAGAGCTTATTTGAAATGATTTTAATAAACAACATGATATGGTTTGAAAATCTACGGAGTCATATTGAGCAAACTTTCATATCATATTGTTGTATCCTGAAGAGACTTATGAATGGTAACTTTTGAGAACCATTTATGGACCAATATTATGCATATATCCTTTATCATATAACTGCTAAATGAATAAACCATTCATGTTCTTATCATGAGCTTTATTTTGAAATATAAACTAATGCTATACGATTTACTAATCATGAATTACACCCAGTCTGTTGATTAATGTTCCCCCTATTCACAGTCACATTTGGCTTAATCTTGTACAAATTTTATATTCTATTTGATGGTACAATGTGGTCTGATTGATTGGTATGTAAACTCAGTATGTTTGAAATACAATGATTCATATTTCAGGGGCTGTTATTGATGTTCTGGACTTAACTGGCTGGGCTAGGCAGAAGCGAGACCGACAAGTACTCTAGACTGCTCGTACGGTTTTCGTATGTCACTGTTCCGATCGATAATTCCGTACTCTCTGATTGGCGGTTTTATCACGTCATACCTTTTAACAGGGCATCCACTCGGCCACAAGTTATAACACATATCCATATCGACTAGCTTTCATGAAGTATTTGCATTATATGTCGATTCCTTTATACTTGAATCCTTGCTTAGTATGAATTCCACATATCGATTTGTTAGCGCTCGCTTTGTGATCTATCAACACAGTTCCAGGAGTTTAGCGATATCATGTGGGGCGTGGTCTAGACACATGATTGCATTAATTCTAATCATTTTGGTAAATATTTGAGGATTTGAATATCTTCTAATCTGAGTGAGTGATTTTTCCATGGCATTAAGGTTTCTGGACACCAGCGGCCAACGCATTACATGACAGTTCAGTCGATTGCATTGTGAAAAATAATTAAGTGAAAACTCGAATGCTAAAGTAGCATTCAAGAACCAAATGAATAAGTTAGTTGTTTACTAATAACTCCGCCTGGAGTCCCTCTGGGGCTTCTACCGTCTCCAAGCCCGGATAAAGGAAGAGGGTTCGACATGAGATAGGTAACCACATCCTGTAGAAAACTGACTCTCTATTAAAACGCTTACTAGAAGAAATAATTTTAACTCTGTCCTGCGAGTCAGAAGGTCTTCATTTAGAAGACTTATGACGCCTCATGATGAAAGCCGATTTCCTTCGGAAGTCACGAGGCTGATGCTCCCTCTGTCAACTACAGCAACCATTACTTTAGGTACATGGGATGTCCGTACAATATGGAAGACGGGGAGAGTCATCCAAGTTGCTGCAGAAATGAAAATATACAATTTGTAAGTTCTTGGAATCAGTGAAACACATTAGACTAGCTTCAGAGGAGCTGCTATCATACTCCGGCCAAGAAGAAGAAAATGCTCCACATACACAAGGCGTTGCGCTGATGCTATCCAAACAAGCACAAAAAACACTTATAGGATGGGAATCTCATGAACCCAGAATGATCAAAGCCTCCTTCAAAACAAAGAGGGAGCATTACAATGAACGTCATCCAATGCTATGCGCCTATCAACGACTACAGTGAAGACGTTAAAGATCAGTTCTATTATAGGCTGCAGTCAATGGTCAAGGAGTGACCAACAAAGGACTTGGCTATTCTGATTGGAGATTTAAATGCCAATGTTAGGATGGACAACACCAGATATGAAGACATCATGGGACAACATGGACTAGGAGAAAGGGACAAAAATGGTGAGGGATTTGCAAACCTATGTGCCTTAAACAAACTGGTCATAGGCGGCACCATACTCCCACATAAATGCATACACAAAGCCACATGGATTTCACCGGATCACTAAAGAGAACCGTCTTTTTCTTCTAGTGATCTACTGGATCATTAAGACATCAACAGATGAGGGAATCATGGGATACAGTGGACAGCTAGACTTCGCAGATGATCTGGCTCTTCTATCACACACGCAACAACAAATACAGGAGAAGACAACTAGTGTATCAGCATCAGTAGGTCTCAATATACACAGAGGGAAAAATGAAATTCTCCGACACAACACAACATGCACCAATCGAATCACACTTGACGGAAAAGCTTTGGAGGATGTCAAAACCTCGACATACCTGGGCAACATCATTGATGAACACGGTGAATATGATGCAGATGTGAAAGCGCGGATCGGTAGATCAAGAGCAGCATATTTACAACTGAAGGACCTCTGGAAGTTAACTCAACAACTGTCACCCAACGAAAAAGTCAGAAATTTCAATACAAATGTCAAGACAGTCCTACTGTATGAGGCGGAAACTTAGTGAACTACGAAAGCCATCATCCAGAAGATACAGGTGTTTATTAACAGTTATCTACGCAAAATACTTCGGATCCGTTGGTCAGACACTATCAGCAACAGCCTGCTGTGTGAGGAAACAAATCAGATTCCAGCAGAGGCAGAAATCAGGAAGAAGCGCTGGAAGCGGATAAGACACACACTGAGGAAAGCAGCCAACTGCGTCACAAGGCAAGTCCTCACCTGGAACTTTTCAAGGCCAAATGAGAAAATGAAGGCTGGCCAATACACTACTCCAAGAAATAGAGACAGACATGAAAAGAATGAACAACAACTAGATAAAACTAGGAAGGAAGGACTAGTACAGAGTGTATTGGAGAATGGTAGTTATCGGCCTCTGCTTCACTGAGGATAACAGGCGTATGTCAGCAAGTAAGTAAGTTTATTAATAATGCAGATAGTGTGAGAAGATCGAAGTGTAAGAATAAGGGGATAAACTGTAACAATAATAAGCGAGAAAAGAATGAGTTAATGAACAATTGGTGATGAAAACAGCATGTAAATTGTGAGGTATGAGACAGATACAGCTGGCTTAAGTGGGAACTAGTAATCCATGAGTGAGGTTTTGATCAAGTTCCCTCTTGAAACCACCCACTGAGATCACTTCGGTTGTGTTCATCAAGTTCTGTTTATCTTAAATTGAACTAGTCTAGGAGTTCTCAGTGATTACATCAATTTGAATACTGATAATTATCATGT